GAACTCCTGCTTCTGGAACTTCTGCGGCTGCAGGGGATCGGACTGGCAGCACTTCTGCTGCAAAAACTCCGCCTGTTGGTACGCCAGCTGCAGATACTCCAGCGGCGGCAGGGGACCGGTCTGGCTGTACACCTGCTGCTGGTACCCCTCCTGCGTGTACTCCCGCTGCTGGTACTCCTGAGGCTGGAACTCCTGCGGTTGGCTGGGCAAAAACTTGTTGGAGCGCCTGAAGCTGACCAGAACTCCGGACGCTGGCTGGCTCCGCCCGCGGTGGACGAAGGGCTGTGGCCAGCGCCGCCCCCAGCCGGGAGGGACAACCTCCACGATGCCGCCCGAGCTCGTCGAAGCAGCGAAGGAGCACCTGCACGGCTCGGCCTTCGGCCCGCAGGCGTTGGGCACGTCGCTCCGGTGCCGCACGCCGTGGGCGCGGGGCCGCCCGCCAGGGAGGCACGGACATGGCGCGGGCTGAGTGGAAGGGGAAGGGGGCGAAGGGGGGAGGGCAGAGGCGGGGGGCCTCCTGGCTTGGGCTCGCGACCTCCGGCGGAGGCGATCTGAGCCCGGGCTAAGCATCTGGGGGAGGGAAGAGGGAGGGGCAAGGAGGAGGAGGGCCAGGAGGGGAAGGGACGGATGCGAGGGGGGGGGGTCAAGGTCCAGGAGAGGAAAGGATGCGGGGGGAAGGGTAGAATGACGAGGCGAAGGAGACGGAAGGGGGGCGGAAGACGAGGAGGGGAGGAAGGATGGCTGCAGAACGGACAGGGGGAGGATGACCCCGAAGGGGCAAGGAGGCACTTGGGCGCGAGTGAAGTTGTGTGTTAGCGATCTCGTTGACCGTTTTCGGCTTGATTTCGTTTCGCAGCGGAGTCGCAACGAACACCCCAAACGGGGAACACGACAACAATGCGAAAACGGACAGCACAGTTTGACCCGCGCCCTGGTAGACACGTGGATGGGGCCAGAGTATGTTGGAGGTCTTGGGGTACCCCTGGACACCTCAAGCCATCCAGAAACCAGCGCATTGCCGCAACATCATTTCCCCGCCCCCCTTTTGAAAAGGATGGAGAGGCAGAAAAGGGCACGAAGTCGCAGGAGGGCAACACAAGGAGGATGAGCATGCTCGTGGGCGGGCGCGGGGGGGGGCAGGAACAGGAGGAGGCGGAGAAACGGGAGCGCGGAGAGGGGGGCAGGAACGGGAGGAGGACGGCGAAAGTCAGAGGCGATGGCGATGGCTAGGGTGAGTTGCCCGTGCTCTGGCGACGGGCCGGGGGCCTTACGAGCGCGCCTGGGGACGCATCAGAGCGCTCGAAGATCCCCCCTGGCGGACCGAAAAAGCTCCGAGCCTCAAGATCCCCACCCAAGGTCCCCCCCAAGATGCCCAAGACAGCCTCAAGATCGGCCACGAGTCCCAAAAGACGCCCTAAGAGAACCAACGACGCCCCAACGAGAGCCCAAAGGCCAAACTGTTTCAAGCTCCATTGAAAATGATGGTGATGTTTACGGTCACGCCCGTATTGGCTCCCAACGCTCCCAAACGGCCGAAACAGGCCCCGAAGGTCGCCCCGAGCGGGCCCAAGAGGCCTTCACGAGGAATCCCAAACGGCCCAAGATGGCTCTAAGATGACCCAGGAGGCACCCAAGACGGTCGATGAGAGCCCCATGAGGGCGCCCCAAACGGACTCCAAGAAGGTGCCAAGAATGGCAGTGTGGGCGCCATCTGTTGGAGGAAGGGCCTTCCAACATGCCCCCAAGACCTTCCAGGAAGCGCCCAAGGACGCTCCCAAGAGGCCCTCAGCAGCCCCTGAGAGACCTCCAAGAGGCGCCGAGAGGTCTTTTGGAGGCTTCAGGAGGCCCCTGATTCTGCGAGGCCCCGGGAGGCATCAAAGACGCCGTAGACGCACTACCAACGAACAGGTACTGTTTATACGTTTTCGATGTGTGTGTGTGGGACTGCAAATGCCTATTCGCATGAGTATGCATGCTGTTTGGAATGAGTCGGCTCAGCCATTTTGCGTGTATGTACGCATGTACGTGTGTACGCATACGTATATATACACATACATATACGTATGTGTGCATGATTGCATACACGTAGATTGATGCATGCAGGTACGCGGGTAAGTACGCATGTACGTGGGTAAACATGCATGCATGCAGACATTCGCGTATGCATGTACGCATGTATAGGTGTAGCTGTATGTGTGTACTTGTGTATGTGTGTATGTATGCGTGTTGGTAGGTAGGTGGATGTATGTATGAATGTATGGGTACTGCATGCATGTCTGTATGCTGGTGTTACTGATGTTGATGATGGTGTTGTGCATGAAGCTGTGTCTATGGTGCGCATATGCGTGTGACTACGTATGTGTGAATGTCCGCATACAATGTGATTATGTGGGGTTGTCTGTATTCCGGAATGTACACACGCACGTACGCGTATACGTAAGAACGCACACACGTATGTATGTATGTATGTACGTACGTATGGATGTATGCACGTGCGTACATATGTATGCATACATGTACGCATGTATTGTTGTAAGGTAAGGTACGGTAAGATAAACGACGGTAAGGTACTAAATTGTATTGCACTGTGATACCATGTAAAGTAATGTAATGTCATACGTGTGTGCTCGCATGTACGGATGTGTGTATAGATGCATGCATGTGTGTATACCCGCATGCATGTCTGTACGCATGCATATATGTATGTATGGAGGTATGTCGGGATGTGTGTGCATGTGTGTCTGGGTGCTTGGCCGTAAGAATGTATGCGTGTATGTATGAATTCATGTATGCTTTTATAGTCGTTTGCTTGGGGGTCTCCCAAAGCTATTCAACTGCATGGAGCTCAGGAAGCGACATTATCGTCATATATTTGTTGCCGCGGGGCAGTGCGGATAGGAGGACGCGGAGTTAGCGCGCAGGGGTTCGCGGTACTCCTTGTGGGGCCCCATCCGCGTGAGGAAGGTGGTCCCTAGTGGTGGTGCTCCCCGTGGAGCGCGGTCCCCAGGAAGCCATGTGAATTTGCCCATCAGTTCCAGAGGTAGAGACCTTTGAGGGGCACGATCGGCGTCAGGGGTGTGCCGAAACACGGGGGCAGACGCCATGGGAGCCCTCGCTCTGGGGCCGTCGGTGGAGGTCTCTGGGGGGCGAGATCCGTGAGAGGAGTGTTCCGTCAGGGGTGTGCCGACATGGGCGGGGCGGCGGGATGCGAGCCTGTTCTCTGGGGCCGTCGGTGGAGCTCCCTGCGTGGCACGATTCCTGCGAGGAGTGAGTCGAGATACGTGAGGGGACGCTGTACGAATCCTCCCACTGGGGCTGCACGCGGAATTTGTTGTCTGTGGGGCAGGATGGGCGGAGGGACGCCATGCGAACTGCGCACCGCAGGTAGAGCTCACGTAGGGTCACGGTTCGTGTGAGGGGAGTGCCGAAATTGGCGGGGAGACCCTTGCGGAAGTGGTGGAGTGCAGTTCCCCTGTGTCATCCTCGAACAAATGCTTTCCGAGGTGTCACGCGCGATCTGGTCTGACCCGCCGTCCTCGCAACACTACGATCAGAGATGCCGCCCGCGAGCCAGTCTGGCCCATTTCCCCTGAGGTATCCTCGCCACTCTGGGCTCCCCAATTCCGCACACGAGCTGGTCTCAACAGTTTGACGTGAGACATCCTCGCGAATCTGGGATCTAAGATACCGCGCGCAGAGTCGTCAGCTCCTCTTTGCTTGAGATCCCCTTGCAGCTCCCCTGCGGCGGCAACTTTGTCAGCCGAAGACGACGACGATTTCGACCGTGCTCCGGAATTGTGCCCCCCCAGAGCGCCCTCGCTCCGCCAAGCTGGCGGGAACTTGTTCGTGTCATTCTTCCCTGGGATGGGCGACGCTTCGTGCAAGTCGTCGCGCGTGCGAAGCAGGCGCTTTTGGGGTTGCGACTGCGCGCCGCGTGGGCACCCGCGCGAGCGGGTGCTGCGAGTGTCGCGGCGCGGGAGCGCGGAGCCGATGGGCGCACAACGTGGAGCAACTATGTGTGTGTGTGGAGCCTGGTGTCCTCGGACCTCGAAGCTCAAACCTCGAGCCCTCATCCTTGAGCCTCCAAACGCAATCCTCGGTTCTCGACCCTGAAAAACCTCGACCCTCGATCCTCGAGCTGTGTGTGTGTGTGTGGAGCAACTGTGTGTGTGTGGAGCCTGGGCGCGGGAAGCTCGTTCTGGACTTATGCTGCTCGCATCGCACTTGAGGACCACACATCCCAGAAATGATTCCGAGCACCCAGAAGAAAAAAGCGTCGAACGAGTGTCGACACGGTGTCGAAACGTTGGCGGACGAGTGTCTCCCAGGGCCCGACACTTGAAAGCACTCCAGTTTCGGTTTTTTTCCCTGGTGCTCGAAAATCTTCCTGGCGATCAAGACCACAGCAGGTTGGATCATCACAATTCTAGACGCTCGCGCCAAGCAACAGCCTGCATTCAGGAGGTTCAAGTTAGTTTGACATGAGTTTCGGGTTTCCGGTTCAGTGGCTAGGATTTCAGTATGGTCGGCTGGTGTCTGGCCGAAGGCGTCCCGTAGCCCCCTCGCGCGTCGGCTGGGATCTCTGGGCTTGGGGCTGGTCCCCGAGCGTCGTGCGCAGCGAAGCCCGTACCGCGGAGAGTGCACCGCACAATTTGCACCACCTGTAGCTTGCAGCACGCGAGCGTACACACGGGCAGGCAGACTGACAGCCAGCGAGAGAGAGAGAGAGAGAGAGCGAGAGGTGGCAGCAAGAGTGGTGAGGCATGATGGGCGAGGCCTGTGGGGCAGGAGGTGGAGGAGGAGGAGGGGGAGGAGGAGGAGGAGGCGGAGGAAGGAGGAGGAGGGAGGAGGAGGAGGAGGAGGAGGAGGAGGAGGAGGAGGAGGAGGAGGCGGCCTGTGTGGCAGGGCAGCACCGCGGGGGCGGCCGTTGGCCTCGAGCGGCCGCGGCGCCGGAGGCGCTTCGCGCCTGCACGGAGGAGGGCGCCGCCCCTGCCCGCCAGGCGCGGGAGCCCCCGCCGCTGATCCCCCCGGCGAGCCCGAGCCCGCCGCGGCGGGGGCGGTCGCCCGATCGGCGCAGGAAGGCCGCGCCGAAGGCCGGATCTCACAGAGGGACGTGCCTTCGGGAGCCCTGAGACGGGGGTCAATGCAGACGGGGGTCAGCCAGGGCGCCAGATCTTGCAGGATCCTGCGAAGACCCCCTCTGACTGACCCGGGTTAGGGAGCCGCTCGTGGCCGCGAGGCGGCCGCACATATTGACTAACCCGGGTTTGCGAAGATCTGCGTTGCAGTTTTTTTTCCTGCATTGCAGTTTTTGGTTTCCTGCTGACCCGGGTCTGGATTGACCCGGGTCAGAAGATCCCCGATGCACCCAGAGAGCCAACGCATTGAAAAAGATCAAGAGGGAGGTTTCTCTCAGTCTTCGGCCTCTGGTGGCCCAGAGAGCCAACGCACCCAGAGAGCCAACGCATTGAAAACATCAACAGGGAGGTTGTTCTCACTCTTCGGCCTCTGGGGGCCCAAAGAGCCAACGCACCCAGAGAGCCAATGCATTGAACAAAAATCTAGAGGAAGGTTTTTCTTAGTTTTCGGCCTCTGAGGGCCCTCGCCGGGCCCTGGGACTGTCAAAGAACGACTCAGGATGAAAAGCCGGTCCCAGGGAATGGGTCGAGACTTTGGGGGCCGCGTATTGAAGAAATCACGACATCTGATCTCTTGGTAATGTTAAGTCGGGGGTGGGGAGAACCCCCACCCTGACACGTCGATTCGTGAATTGGCCGTCTTCGGTTCTCGAGAGGGCGCCGCGCCCGTCATTTTCCAGGCTTGCGCCCGCCAGGTTTGGGCCCGAGGTCGTTTTCACAGAACCACGTTTTACTAAAGGAGGTTCTGTCCAGGCTAGAGCTTTAAGTCGGGCGTGTCCCTCTACAGGAGGAATATTCAAGAATAGTAAGAAAATGGTACGGGGACGATGTGCCGATTATTTCTTTGTCTATTTATGTTGTCTTTTTCTGCTCTTAACTTTTGTCCTCCAAAGTCCGCCTGTAAGAGGAAGTGCCCGACCTAGCCGGAGCTCAAGTGAGGAGTCGGGGGACGCGTGATGGAAGGACGATGCAGTGGGGGTCGAAGAAGAAACAACGCCACACGAAGTTGTGGCGCTCCGCGCGGATTTCTTGGACCCGCGATGGGCCCCCCCTGGCGGCGCCTCCGACGCCGCCCCCAGCGCGCTCCGCGCTCCAGGGAGGGGAGTTCGGCGCAGATCCAAGAGTTCCGCGCGGAGCGCCACACGTTAATGTTTAGGTGTTTGATTCCCTAATGCGAGGGGGCAGCAACTCCACAGGAGTAACATACAGGATCTCTCTCCAGAGGACTCAAGACCGTCATCGATTTGCTTGATGCTGAGTGCTTCAGCAGACAAGCCAAGCAGGCTGCATGCGAAGAGTATGCTCAGATGAGGAATCGGAGGACGCGTGATGGAGGGGCGATGCACTGGGGGGCGGCGAGGGCTGCCGAAGATGAGCCCTTGACGGGCCCGTTCGGGTCTGGAAGGGGTGCTTCATGGCCCGAACATGACACCTTTCCCGAAAAAAGACTGAAGCACCGCCCCCCAAGAAGAGGTGCCCATACCGCTATCGGCTATTTATTCGTCTCGGCACGGCAGAGGCAATCCGCACTGGCTTTCGAGCTGTTGGGGGCGATCGACGAACTAGTTGTCACTTCTTTCTATCCGTCCTGTCTTCTCCTGCCTTTAGTGGCCGCGCGAAACACACGTTGTAGGTAAGAAGCAGAGGTCCCCAAGGGGGTACGATCGAAAACGAAGCGGGCGGGTATCGAGGGTTTGGATTATACGTTCTGAATGGCACGCGGCCCTGTAAGGGCGAACAGTCTTAAACTGTGCGGCGTTCTAGTTGTTGCTGGCATTGCTGAAGTTTTGTTGTTGCTGTTGCTGTTGTTGTTGTTGTTGTTGTTGCTGCTGCTGTTGTTGTTGTTGGTGGGGGTGTAGTTGTTGTTGAACTTACACGATTGAAGAATAATTGTTGTGGACCCCACCTCCAGTGACCATCGTATTTAATTGAAGTGTTCCCCTCTGGGGCTCGCACCCTTTTTTATAAGAAAAGGTGAAACAGAAAACCAATCACATGGCTCAATAACACTGTTTGTCCACAGTTTACAACAGCAGCGGCTCCCGCCTGATATTTCTTCACAATGTATGGCCGAATCTCGCTCTCGCGCGGGACTTCCTCACACTTTGCGTACGAATCGCGCTCTCGCGGGGAAACCCCTCGCAGTTTATTCAGACGGTGCGCCCTCAACGCTCAGGAAGCACGCTCTCGCGTTGGCTTCTCTCGCGATGTACTTGGGAACCGCGCTATCGCTCGAGATTCCCTCGCGATCCATGCAGGACCCACGCTTCAGCAACCCGCCTGCTCGACCTGGTCGCCTGGGCCCGCCTGCCCGACCTGCCCGCTAGGGATCTGCCCACCCGATCTGCCCGTCTGGTTTTCACTTGTTTTCTGCTCCGTGCCCCCCTCCTGCTAATTTCTGTCGTGCTCCATTGTTTCCCCCCCTTTTCCACCCGTCTTTTCTTCCTTGTTCTAAGGACTGCACTACATGCACGTGGCAGGTAAGGAAGCTATATCCCCAAGGGGGTACGATCGACGACGGCGAGGGCGGGTACCGAGGGTGTGGGATAGACGTATTGATAGACACGTGAGCAGATATGAGCGGACAGTCTTAATATGATTATTGTTGTTGGTGTTGTTGGGTATTGTTGCTCTTGCTGTTGAGCCCTCACTTCTAAAGAATATGTATTGTTGATCCCCCCCTTGCACGTTCTTAATTGGAGTGCCCTTGGGGAAATGGCATAGGTCAAATTGCGCCCCTGGCCCCCGGGTTGCAACAACAACGGTTCCCGCCTGAAACTTCCTAACAATTTAGCCTGGACCCCCGCTCCTGTCTGACACTTCCTCGCATGGAAATTCCTTATACACTTTATTCCGGAATTGCTCTCTCATCAATCTGGAGTCGCACAATCTCGAGTCGCGCTCTCGCTGGAGGCCCGCTTGCATCTTGTTCCCGAATCGCAAGCTTGCATTGGAGTTCCACGCAATTTGCGCAAGCGCCGTTCTCCAGACACTCAGGCACCCAGGGGTCGCGCTCACGTCTCAGGACTCCATCAAAACTGATTTAGGAATTGGGGTCTCGCTGCCCTGCGTGGCCCCGTTGCAGCCCTTCGTGGCCCCCTCGCTGCCCTTCGTGGCCCCGTTCCAACCCTGCGTGGCCCCCTCGCTGCCCTGCGTGGCCCCGTTGCAGCCCTTCGTGGCCCACTCGCTGCCCTTCGTGGCCCCGTTGCAGCCCTTCGTGGCCCCCTCGCTGTCCTTCGCGGCTCCGTTGCAGCCCTTTGTGGCCCCCTCGCTGCCCGTCGTGGCCCCGTTGCAGCCCTTCGTCGTGGCCCCCTCGCTGCCCTAAGTTGCCCCGCTGCAACCCTTCGTGGCCCCCTCGCTACCCTTCGTGGCCCCGTTGCAGCCCTTCGTGGCCCCCTTCGACGCGCTCCGCTGCCCCGTTGCAGCCCCTCGTGGCCCCCTCGCTGCCCGTCGTGGCCCCGTTGCAGCCCCTCGTGGCCCCCGGTCGTTCGCGCCCGTCGTGGCCCCATACGCATGCGCTTCGTGGCCACTCGCCTTTCGTGGCCCCCTCGCTGCCCTTTGTGGCCCCGTTGCTGCCCTCAGTGGCACCGTCCTTCCCCTCTGCGGCCCAATGTACGTATGCCTTTCGTGGCCCCCGGTCGTTCGCGCCCGTCGTGGCCCCCCATATGCATGCCCTTCGTGGCCCCGCTGCCCTTTGTGGCCCCCTTGCTGCTCTACGTGGCCCCGTTGCTACCCTCAGTGGCCCTGTCGTTGCCTTCTGTGGCCGCGCATTATCTGCCTTCGTGGCCCCGCTCATTCGCGCCTTTCGTAGCCCCATACGCATCCTCGTCGTGGCCCCGCTGTCGCCTTTCGTGGCCCCCTTGCTGCCCTTCGTGTCCCCATCACTGCTCTTCGTGGCCCCGCTGTCGCTCTTGCTCTCGCTCCCGCTTCCGCTTTCGCTCGTCATCGTCGCCAACGTCGTCGTTGTCATCGTCGTCGTCGTCGTCGTCGTCGTCGTGGTCGGTTCCCTGTCCGTCCCTCTTGGGGTCGGGTTGCCGCCGGTCAGCGTTGCCGCTGGCCTGGCCGACGATCCGCGGCCGCCCCGCCGCTTGCCTGGGCCCGGCCTGCAGGAGAGATGTACCCTACAAGTACGATCGAAGACGAAGAGGGCGGGTATCGAGGGTTTGGGAAATACACTTTGAATGACATTCGAGCAGATAAGCGCGAACAGTCTCAAACTGATTGTTGTTGTCGTCGTCGTCCTCCCACTCGCGACCCTGGCCGCGACCCACCCGCGACCCACCGGCGACCCACTTCGCGACCCACCCGCGACCCGCCCGCGACCCGCCCGCGACCATCCCGCGACCCACACTGCGACCACCCTGCGACCCACCCGCGATCCGCCCGCGACCCGCCGGCGACCTCCCCGCGACCCACCCGGACCCGCCGCAGCTGCGGTGTGCTCGTACGGCGGGTGCGTCCGTTAAGGATCGTCCAGTAGGCTGCAGACCCCGAAGGATCCCTGAACTGAGAAGGGCGGCGGCAATCCACGATGAGAGTTCCATCGCTTCCAGACCCTGGGTTCCTTCTCTAAGGGTTCCTCATCTAGGGGACCAAACATTGACATACACATGCAAACTCTTAGGTCTGCGCGGATTCTTCGGATCGGCGTTGGACCCCCTCTCCCTGTCGCGCGGAGCGCTCCAAGGGCGGCCCCGGAGGCGCCGCCAGGGGTGCTCTGGCGCCGATCCGAGGAATCCGCGCGGACTTCCGAGTTAAATGTTTATGGCATTAGTTGTTTCACCATTCTTCAACAGCTTCACTCTTGGCTGCAGCTGCGGGGTGCTACTCACGCACACCACAGCCGAGGTCTTCCGGCTAATCCAGTAGATCTGCTCTCGAGATATCGGGAGAAGTCCTGAGGATTCCTGAGAACAATCCGCATCTCCCATGGATTCCAGATTTCGCTTAAGAATCTCATGCATCTGGACCGTACCCTGGGCGTTTCCTTGGAGCTTCTTTCGGCTCGTAGAATGCCCGTAGATCTCGGCCAGGACGACTTTGAATGCAACAAAAACGCTTGGAGCAAAGTCTCCCGCGGAGCATTGTCTTGGCTGAGATCTTTCTTGACTCCAAGCTGGAGTGTATCTCTGGTATCCGCTCCCGTCGGTCGCATCTCAGGAGGGGAGAAACACACACAGACACAATTCATCGGCGATCCCCAGAAAATATGGGGAAATGTGGGAAGTGGGGGGGAAGACAAAAAAAACAGAAAATATGGGAAAAGATGGGGGATAGTTTTATTTGTGTGTATTTATTTGTGTGTGACCCCGTTCCCCTTCAGCATCGGGGTCGTCGGGCCGGAGCAGGAGGAGGAGGAGGAGGAGGAGGAGGAGGAGGAGGAAGAGGAGGAGGAGGAGGAGGAGGAGGAGGAGGAGGAGGAGGAGGAGGAGGAGCCCGCGGGGGCTCGCCTCCGCCGCCCGCCCTGCGCGGAGGCTCCCGCGGAGCCCTCCGCGAAGGCGCCCCTGGGGCGAGCGCGGAGCGCCTCCTCGGAGATGAGCTTCGACCGCCTGAGCCGCGGGCTCTCGGAGGCCCGCCTCGCGCCGCCCCCCCCCCCCCCCCCCCTCTCCGCGTCGGCTGCTGGGGAGGGAGGGAGGGGGGAGGGGGAGGATGCAGGGGGAGAGGCGGGACGAGGAGAGGGTGTGGGGGGGGGGTGATGAGGTGGCTTGGGGAGAGGGAGAGGGGGAGGGAGGGGGAGGAGGAGGTCAGAGGTCAGAGGGCAGATGAGGCAGAGGTAACCTCACGGCTACCCTTAACCTCACGGCTACCCTTCCCTCGTTTGCCCTTTCTTGGGCCTCGTGGGAGGCCCTCGTCGCCACCGCTGGATTCGCCTCCCAATTCTGGTCCTGTAGCACCCTAGAGGAGGTCCTGGGAGTAGCGCAGGGAGAAGGGAGCAGGAGGGAGGGGGGGGGGGGATGATGAGGAGGCGGGAGAGGGACAGCTGGGATGGAGACGGGAGGAGGCGAGGTCACAGCATTCGCGTAGCGTGAACAATGCGCACAGGGTCCCCTCACCCCCAGGCCGAACAGGGGCCCGAGACGAGCTTCGCGAGCACCGAATGGCGAGGCCGCCACTCAAGAAGCAACACCATGGGACAAGCGCCACGTTTGAAGCCATTGCGAAGCCACAATGTATTGCGAACAACCAAACCACACCACCACCAATTCCCTGCCACATAAGCGAATGTGCCGCCCAAACGACTACTCCATTGCAGAAGAGCGACTGTTCGTGAATTCTTTCGCACATGTCGCGCATGCCGTCCTCGCGGGCTGTTCAGATAGGACCCTACGGAACTCATCGCTATGGCCATTTGGCCCTCAATCCCCGCCTCTGATTGCTTCCCCATTCAGTCAAGCAGCCGCGCCAATTGCCTCGCAATCGACCCGTTCCAGCACACTTGTGTCTTGAGACTCGAATCGGGAACGTAGCCCGAGTGCACAGTACCAATACCGAGCGGCAGCAACTCGCTCATTGGCGCACTTGGCCACCACTGCAATGTGGGGACGATGGCAGCATCCAAAGCTCGAGCAACTTGCGCGCTCATGTTTGTGGTTGCCAGCCTGCTCAACATCAAACCCGAAGTATGCGAGACCGCCCAAGCCGCCCCCCACCCAAAACGCCGCGATAAGTCGACGGGCTCGATTCAATACATCGCGGGGTAGCCAAGATGTTTATTTTGGAGGCTACTCGAGCCTATGCTTGATGGGGAGCAGAGACAAGGTGGAGGGGGAACATGTGGAAGGGGGGGAAGGGCGCGATTCGACACACCAGAAGGGGTTGGAGAAGGATGGCGCAGGGGGAGCCGGTGTGGAGCAGGAAGGTGTGGACGAGGAGCAGTTCCACAGGTGCTTTCACGGCGCAGCAGCACAAAACTGAATTGCCCAAGACGATCGAACGTTGAACCGCAAACAGGAGAAGCAGAAGGGAAAACGGGGCGTTGGGGCGAGTGGGCCCGCAGGATCTCCTAATGGCTCTTTGCAGTGCATCTTGCTGGGTGTTGAATAGCCGTGCAAGGCACCAGTGTGTGTGTGTGTATGTGTGTATGTGTGTATGTGTGTGTGCGTGTGCGCGTGCGTGTGCGTGTGCGTGTGCGTTTGCGTGTGCGTGTGCGTGTTCGTGTACGTGTATGTGTACGTATACGTGTACGTGCGCGTGTGCGCGTACCTGTATGTGTACGTTTAAGTGTACGTGTACGTGTACGTGTGATGTCTTTACGTGTCAGCAGTGTTGTGCAGTTGTCCTGTTTCTGGAGGTCTCTGGGCACCTGGTATGGGGACCTGCGGGCATCTCTGGGGAGATCTGATGGGGATTCGGAGGAGGAGGGGGAGGAAAAGCAGGTGAACCAATAGCAGAAGGAGTGAGCGGAAGAGAGCCAGACGATGAGGTGGAGGAGCAGGACTAAGAGGAGGTTTGGAAAAGCTAGAGCTGAGCACGAACATCCTGGCGCCGACGTTGGTCGCTGAGCTCTGCTGTTTCGAAGCTGGCTTGGCAAGCGCAGTAGGGAATCTTATGAACCATTTTTGTTTGCCTCCGTCCTTTTCACAGTGTCTGGATCAGTTTGGGCGATGCGGACGGGATCGGGTGATCTCCATTGCTATCACAGGTGTACGTGGATACAGAGCGCATGATCGATTAACGTGGCTCAGGTATTGACTTGCAGCTACCATGGGCCCACACACGCCGAGTCAATTCGGAGGGACCGGCTCACATGGCCGGCTGGAACCAGGGCGCGGCGACACAGCCAGGGTCAGTTCGGAGTTGTAATTGCCTCGGGTCCCCCATGTTTCTACATAGGACCATTTAGGGCGCGGGCTTTATTGTTTGCCGAGGTGCTCCAGCAAGATCGGGGCCCTGAATGGCCTCCGCAGGCTGGGTGATGTCCGCAGTGTCCCCATCTTCCCGATGAATGGCGGGGTGCTCGCTGCGGGTCCATCCTAGCCGCCCCTTTTCTGCACTGCATTGGCCTTCTTCCCCCGTCCCTCTCATACTACCCCTCTGTGGTGGCGGGGAGACCTGCAGGGAGGAAGAGCCCGAGAGAGAGGAGGAGGAGAAGGAGGAGGAGAACGAGGAGGAGGAGGAGGAGGAGGAGGAGGAGGAGGAGGAGGAGCGGGGTAAGGAGGAGGGGGAGGAGGAGAACGCGGAGGATGATGGACAGGCAGGGAGGAGGGGAGCCAGTAGGAGGAGGAGGACCCCTAGACGCATTATCGATGCTGCTCAGTTTCCGTTTTATACGTCCTTACGGGAACGTATCCTTTTTGCGGGAAGTGTCCCATTGAAAGACATCCGTCTGAGAATCCACACCCGCGCCCAGACATAATTTCCTGGACTTCGGCGCTGCGAACCAAAGTGATTGTTGCATCCCGACGATCCCAAATCGCGTCAGAACTCCATGTTTGAGACTTCGCCCAAGCCACGAATCAATTGGACTGCTGCGTCCTGACAGCCCTCAGTCGCGCCAGAACGCCATGCCTGGCACCTGGGCCATACGAGGCCTTCAACTGCTTCGATCGGCGAAGCTCATGTGCGCGTTGCCAAGGTGGTCGCCACATGTCCTTCCATCATTGGAGCTGTTGCAACCTTTTTGGACGAGTGTGCGCGGCGCTGGAGCGATCGCAACATTTTGAAAGGACCCGTCTTCCATAAAAGGGTTGCCCTTAACCACGAACTTGAGCTCTCACCCGTGAGAAAAGCAAAGTTAGTGTAGTGGCATAGCGTATTGCTGAAGCCAAGTGGCTATGACACTAGGCTAACCGTAGCGCAGTGCTTTAGCCAAGGTTAACGTGGTGTCATAGCGCAGTGTTGGGGGCACCTGGGCGTGACACTACGCTATGACACTACGCTACGGTGGAGGCGGGGGAGAAGGAATCGTTGTTTTTTGTTTCGGTGGCTGTTCCTTGGAATTTTGCTTGACTCTGCTCCGTGAGAGAGGACGCTACGCTACCGGTAGCGTAGTGTCATAGCGTAGTGTTGGGGACACTTGGGCGTGACGCTACGCTATGACACTACGCTACGGTGGAGGCGGGGGAGAAGGAATCGTTTTTAGTAGTTTGCTTTCTTCCGGGTTGTGCTTGAGTCTGCTCCGTGAGAGAGGACACTACACGACCGTTAGCGTAGTGTCATAGCGTAATGTTGGGGCACCTGGGCGTGACACTACGCTATGAGACCACGATGCGGTGGAGGCGGGGGAGACGTTTTTGTTTTGTGTTCGTTTGTTATTCCTCCGGGTTTGGTTTGACTCTGCTCCGTGAGAGAGAGAGAGAGAGAGAGAGAGGACATAGTGTTGGGGACACCTGGGCGTGACACTACGCTATGAGTTAGCGTGGTGCCGTAGAGCAGTGGCAAACTTCACTACCAACACCTACTCTCGTACTCCATCCTAGAACCTGTAGCATGAGTATATCACGAACGTGGTCGACGCGAATGCGAGAGCCACACTCTGAACACCGCCCGCCCTTCGTCCTTGAAGCTGCTGGACATGTCGAGCGGCAGCGTCAGACGCGGTCAGGCAGCCGCAAACGAAACGCCCGGCCCGCCCTGCCGACATGTCCAGGGGCGCGACAGGTAACCAGCCTCGAACGTATCCCGATCTCTAAAGATGGGCGAACAAAAAGCGAGGACAATCTTAGGGATAGGCCCTCAGAAACTGAGGAAATCCTGAAGATCGGCATCGAGGTGAGGTGATGTTAAACATGGGATGGGGATATGTTTCAAACTGGTAAACAGGGAGGAGTCATTCACAAGGTCAACGGATGGAGGAGGACGAAGGGGAGCCGTCTCAGGCTGGGCCTGGCCCCCCCCACCAAGAGCCTTCCCATCATCTTAGCTTTCCCGATGCGCTCGCTTTGTGCTCAAGACGTGCGCGTTACCACGTGGCGTGCTGACGCTCGTTTGGGCGAACGCGGCGCGCCAGACCTGCGCTGACGCTCCGCGTGTTGAGCTCCGTGCCAACGCTCTACGGGTTGGCGTGTTGCGTTCCCTGACCCCCGACGTCATGATCTTTTCATAACGTCGACCCCTGGAGGTCTCGACCCATTCCCCGGGACCGGTTTCTCGCCCTGAGTCGTCTTTCGATGGCCCCGAGGCCCAGTGAGGGCCTCCAGGGGACGACAGCAGCGAAAAACCTCCCGTCGTGATTTTTCTCATGACCCGAGGGGGTCTGGGTTGTGGCGTGGCGAAGCCCATCATTCTTCGGCCGCTGCCTGGCGACTCCCCAGGAGGCAGCAGCACTCACCAGAGCCGTCTCCGAGGAGGGCCGGGCCAGGATGCAAGGCAAGGCGAGGCCATGCCGAGGAGCGTTCCCGCAGCTGCCAGCTGCCCCCGCTGGCCCACGCAGGGCCAGCTGAGCCGAGGCCGTGCAAGGCTGGCAGCTGTCCCCGCAGCGCCCACTCCCCGCCCACTGCGGCCGCCATCCACCGTAGACGCGCTAACGGCAATGTAGGCACCGGTGATGTAGGCTTCGGCATTGTAGGTGGGACTGGTTCGTGGCCAAACCAATTGTAGGACATCGTGGCTCGTGTTTTCCTACACTTTGCTGCGTCGTTCTCGCTCGATGCGTTCGCACATTTGAGATTTGGGAAAGTGTGGTTTGCGATTTCCCACGGTTTGTTCTGCGCGAGCTCGGTTTCACAAAAATCAGAGTCCCAAGATCGCCGTTCACCAACATCGCCGTTAGCGCAGCCTTGGATTCATCCCTCCCGAGGCGATGAAGCGCGGCGAGGGCCCGAGGAGCAGCAGCAGCGGCAGCCCGGCCCGGGGCCTCAGCGCGCTCTGCGCCGGGCCATGCCGCCCTCGCGGCCCGCCGCTTGCCTGTGGATCTTCCTACCTACTTTAGCCTTGATCACCAGAAAAACTTCGAGCACCAAAAAAGTGCCGAAGCGTCAGGGTTTGCACGTGTCGGGCCCTGGGAGGCGATGCTCGTGCGACACTGATTCGATGCTTTTCGGGGTGCTCGGAATTATTTCTGGGATGATGTCCTGAAGCACGATGGGAGCATCATAACGCTTGCCGCCACTCCCGGCCACGCTCTGCTCACCGCTCGGCGGCGAGCGATGGGGGGAAACGAGAAAGAGAGGCCCTCGCGCCTTCTGAGAAGTTGATTTCCTGCGTCTTCGGGGAAGGCTTACAGAACACTTCTCAGAAGGCTGCGGGACTTCGGAGAAAGCTTTCAGAAATCTTATCAGAAGGCTGGGGGACTTCGGAGCCTTATGGGAAGTCCTTCTCCTTCCCACTTCCCCCCCTCGCTCGCGGCCAACTCACGGCCCGCCGCTTGCCGCCAGTCCCGGCCACGCCCTGCTCACCGCGCGCCGCGGGTTCGAGGTGTTCGGGGTCTTCGGGCGCGTTCGCCGTCTCTTGACGGCTGCGTTCCAGTTGCTGACGGTCTCGTAGTCTTCAGGATGCGCTCCAGCGGCTCTTGGCAGTTTTCGCCGTTCTTGTCGGGCCGAACGAAAAGGGGGATAGGGAAAGGGGGGGGGGCACGAAATCTGCTGCACGCAGCTGGTTTCGGCGCCGCCGCCTGGCCCATTCCTCGAGACATGGGCGCCTCCCGGCGCCGGGCGCCGGGAGGCGCCCGGAAAATCAGCTGCGTGAGCTGATTCTCTGCCGCTCCCCCCCGATCCTGGCGCCTTCCCAGCTCTCGGCGCTCTCGCCGTCTCCCGGCGTCTGCGCTATAGTGCTCGGGCCGCGCTCCGGCGGCCGCCCCCCCGCAGCGAGCGCTCTCGTCGCGGGGTCCCCGCATCGTCCCAGGCACGGCCGCCGGAGTCCCGAGCTGTGATCCAGCAGCCGCCCTTGGGTTTCGTCCTCCTCTCCCTCCTCCTCCTCCTCCTCCTCCTCATCCTCCTCCTCGTCCTCCTCCTCCTCCTCCTCGTCCTCCTCCTCCTCCCCCTCCTCGTCCTCCTGCTCCTCCTCCGCCTCCTCCTCCTCCTCCTCCTCCTCCTCGTCCTCCTCCGCCTCCTCACCCTCCTCGTCCTTCCGGGCGAACGGGGGGGGGAGTGGGAAAGGGCGGGTTACGAAATCTGCTGCACGCAGCTGGTTTCGGCCCCACCGAGTGGCCCATTCCTTCGATACATAGCCGCTTCCGGCGCCGGGAGGCGCCGGGAAGATCAGCTGCGTGAGCTGATTCTCAATTCCCCCCTTTGTTATCCCCCCCTTTCGCCCTTCCCGAGGTTTGTTGACGACGATCAATGTTAAGTCGGGCGTGTCCCTCTACAGGAGGAATATTCCAACAATTGTTTAAGAAATAGCCTGGGGACGATTGTTTGATTATTATTCGGCTATGTTTAAACATTGTTTGCGCATGCTCTATGCTTTGTCCAACATGCGCATGTAGCAGGACATGCCCGACCTAAGATCAATGAGGAGGAAGCATGTTGCCCAATAATCTCCAGATGTGAGAAATATCGTGCCTTAAACATGTTAATCGCGTATGAGTACTTCAACCATGGCAAAGCAAAACAAAAAAAACATGTTTAAACACATTTTGAATTCAAGGATCGGATTGTTGATTTGTCCGTTGTCACGGCATGCACAACATTCGGTGGTGCGCCTGGCGGGCCCGGCATTGCCGCTCCAACTCCGTGGGAAAGCGTTAAGTCGGGCGTGTCATTCTACAGGGGGAAGATCCACAGCCAGTCAAAACATCGTCTGGGAACGATGTGTTGACCAGTTTAATGGGCAGTTGGGGGGGCATTTTTTGGGATATTTGTTTTATTTCGCCCACAATCCCCCTGCACGGTAGGTTCGCGTCGTGTCGACCGGCGGCGACCCCGCCGCCGACGGTCAACGTTGAACGCCGACGGCGGCCCAGAATCGGTCGATGTTGAACGATCGGACGTTGCGGAGACGGCCGATCGTTCAAGGTTGAACGATCCAGCGCGGTGTCGGGAACCAACGCCGGGGTCGACACGACACGAACTTGCAGTAGGGGGACGCGCCCGACTTCAGGATAGCGTGTCGCTCCGCCAGGTCGGGCCCACCACGCTGCAGCGCGGCACGCTGCCCGGGTCCCCGCCCGCGGGCCCCCGCGCCCCAGCGCCTCGGGCCTGTCCGCTGCTCCCGCCCCGCGGAGCGGAGCGGCACGCCGTCCAATCGCAGGGCGCAGTGTGTCGCCGGGCCCTTCGACGCGGCACGCGGAGCAAGAGTTCGTGGCCGTCGACCTCCGACGCCGTCCTGGGCGGACGAAAGGCAGGGAGGGGGGACTGGTAAGGGAAGGGCGGCGCGAGACCTGCTGCATGCGGCTGGTTTCGTCCGCCGCCGGGCGCCCTCATCGACGTACGTGACGTTGGCGCCTCCTGCGCAGCTGCGTGAGCTGGATCGTCCCACCTCATTTGACGATCCGCCGCTTCGTCCAGCCCCAGTGTCGTCGCCCGTGTGCTCTGCCAGCGCGTCTTCCCCATCAGTTTCGGGATCCTGGGGCCGTGGCTAGGCCGCGGGATCACGATAAGACAGTCCGCCTCGGGAAGCCGATTGAGGTCAGATGGTGGGGACCTCTGCTGGGCCCGCCCGCACGCGCAAGAAGCCACAGCGTCAGAGGTTGGTCGAGAGCGAGAGGTGGAGGAAATCAGGGCAAAGGTCGGAGCACAACAGGTATAGATGAATGCCTGTTCTGGCCGCCGGGAGCTTTGACATTTGAGTATCGCAGGATGATGTTCGTGGCACTCTACTCAGCAGCGGCAGCTTCTGGCCGCCGGGGGATCTGAAGTTTGAGTCTCGCAGGATGATGTTCGCGGCAATCCACTTAGCAGCGGCAGCTTCTGGCCGCCAGGGGCTTTCACATTTGAGCATCGCAAGGTGAGATTCGTGGCAATATACTTGGCAGCGGCAGCGACGCTGTGCCGGTGACGGCGGCGCAAGCCTTCTTCGGGGGATGGCCAGCCGATGTCGCGGGCCCCAGCGGGGCCCGCGCCGGCCGACGATGACAGGGCTTTCTGGGAGCAACATTGGTGTACACATTGTTCATGTCTAATGATTCGAGAGTTGTTTGATTTTGGGGGGGGGCAAGATCCTTTCATTTCTAATAGTGCTATCCTGGGCCTCTTCCTGGCCGCTAGGGGGCCAGGAACCATTAGAAACGAGCGCACTCAGAAATGAGCACGCTAAGAAATGAACGACGTGTATAGACCAGCACCTATATACACCAGATTTGGTGCATACGCTACACCCAGTGAACAACTAGCGTCGGTATACTGACACCGAAACGGTCATGCACTGTCCCTGGCCGCGTGGCTGAAGTGCGGATTCTTGTCGCGTTGTGTGTTGCGTGTTTTGTCGTCCCACCCGCGAGCCTGCCCGCGGCTCCCCCGCGACCCACCCGCGACCACCCACGACCCACCCGCGACCCATCCCGCGACCCAGCCCGCGACCCACCCGCGACCCAGCCCGCGACGCACATCCGCGACCCACCCGCGACCCACCCGCGACCGCGCCCGCGACCCACACGCGACCCACCCGCGACCCACCCACACTGCTTTCACAAAGGAATCGGTGCCTGCGGCGGGCTCGTTGTACAATGTGTGAAAATGAGGCGCCTGCGGCAGCATTCCGACGCCCACGCCCCCACCTCACTCACCCGCAACCGCGAGGAGCTACGTATACACGAATCTCCTGGGCTGGGTTGCGCTGCCGGGGTCGGGGGCGGTTGGGGTCCGCGGAATCCGCTTCATTCCTGGTGGGCGATTCGTAACGGGGTTGCATGTGGGCGTCTGCACGGACGCAGCCACGCGCAAGCATTCACGCGGCGGGACAAAGACGATGAGGTTGCCAACCTCCACCGAAGCTGGAAAGGTGTATCTGCATAGTTGTTGTCCCCCCGAAAGGGAGGGAGGGAGGTGGAGCAGGGAGAAGGGAGGAGTGAGGAGGGAGGGGGGAGGGAGGGGGAGAGGGGAGGAGGGAGGTGTGAGGAGGAGAGGGATAAGCTACACGTTGGGCTGTCCGTGGGTGTTCATACCCCGTGGTCGCGGGTATTCCCGAAGTCATCGGCGCGGGCGGCGGCGAACGAGCCCTCGTCGGTGGCAGCGTTCAGCCAGGCGGGTTCTTGTCAGGGCACAGCTCCCGACTCACATCATTATCCTCATCTTCCTCTCCATGATTCCCCCTTCTTCCCCGTCCCCCTCGTCCTCCTCCCCGTCCCCCGTCTCCGCTACCTGCTTCTTCTCGGTCGCCGCCGACCTCCCCTCCACTGCCTCATCGGCCTCCTCCACCTCCGCCCCCGTCTCATCGTCCGCCTCACCATGCTCCTCCTTATCCTCCACCTCCTCCTCTCCTCCTCTTTTTATCCGCCTCCCAGTCTCCTGAAGTGTCATCCTCCTTGCCTTGTTTTGCAGACGAGAGGGGAAGGACAGGGGACTGGACGGGAGAGGAGGCGGAAGCCGACGGTGAAGGAGGTGACCCTCCGCATGTCGGCTTGGCTCCCCGTGCCAGCCGAGGCCAAGGGAGCTCGAGACACAGCGCCAGGACTCGCGGCGGGTTTCAGGGGGCGCCTTTGGACGGACGACGTGCAGAGGATGGAGAGGAGGAGAGAGGGGGGGGGGGGGGGCGGGACAGGAGCGGGAGAGGAGGCGGCGGGGGAGGTGGCTGACGCGGAGCCGAAACAGGACGACGGACGAGTAAAGAGGAGGAAGGATCATGAGATGGAGGAGGAGGAGGAGGCGGAGGAGGAGGAGGGATTTGTAGCACCCCGCAATTGCGGATACGAGTGAAGGGGCGGGCGCGGGGTGGGTCGCGGGTGGGTCGCGGGTTGGGTCGCATGTGGGT